ATAATCCAATAACATAATAATAACATAACACAATATTCACAACTCGAGTTGCCCAATTGGAAAATATAAATATCAAATATTTAGTGAATAAAATCAATCTTTCATAACTTTTCTCAATGTATTCCATGTAAAAACTGATATGCTGATTTGATAAATTGATCATTAAAAACTGCTAGCATAATGATTAACTAATATCTCAGAAGTTATCAAGCACATAATTTTCCTGAATTTTTTTATAGCTCTCATTTTTATTTATAAATAAACTTGATGATGTTGAGTCATGGTTTCTTTGTTAATAAATAATTGGATAGAGTATAATGGGACGATTATCTTCGGTTCCTATTCCTAGAGCAAAATGAACGAAATTTAAGGCCCCCCCCCTCCCCCCGTCGCCCACCACCCACCACCCACTTAACCCGGCTTTAAAAATCCGCTGAATTAGTGATGATTCTGAGACGTGAAAAGGGAAAATTAAAAAATATTCGTGGACAAACCGCAAGCCCCTGAATTGAATATAAATATTAAAACGATGTGAAAAAAAAAGCAGGCATTTGATTCCTGATTATTTACGAGAAAGTAATTCCCAAAAATGGTGGATTCAATTAATATAGGAGTCAGACAAACGTATAATTAGCCTGAGCGAAGCTCATTAACTCGAAGATCTCAGTTAAGACCTTGTACGATTGTATTAATAATTACACGAAGGGGTAGATGGTTGTGATTGGACGGTTGCATAGGGAAGTGCAAGGTATCATTGTGAAATTTTACTTCTGGACGTTTTTAATTAGCCCCAATTAACATGCGAGAATTTATTTACCGTGTTTTAATTATTCATTTCAGTTATAATAATCATAGTTAGATAATTATTATATCAAAGTCTCGATTTATGTAATGTGAATATATCACTAGCTGGTGGAAGTGCAAAACACTTCTGCTGGGATACACACTGATTACCGATTGACTTTTTACGGGCATAACTCTATCAGAAATAGAGTGAAGAAATTAATTAATGACTTCTTCGTGGAGATTGAGTTGTGAGGAAGTTTATAGTGTATCCCGTTTTTCAGTTAATAATCTTAATATCTAGAGGACAACAAAATCATTAGATTATTGTTTAAAAGTCTTCTGTGAACATGACAATAATTTATAAAAACATCTGTCCTAAAATATTTTGAATAGGCTAAGTTTATCCAAAGAATATACACAAAAGATATATATATTTTTGTATATATTGTATATATTTTCTCAGAAATATAAATGAATCAGTGATATTACGAGTTTTTGCTGGTTCAAGGCCAATAATTATTCCTGAATATGTTAAATAATGTTAACTATTCAATTGTTGCTCGAAAATACTAGAATAATGAATAATTTTCTCGGGTCACATTCTCCCATATGGAAAACGATATATTTCTAGTAATTTCTGGTGGGAATATATAGTAATTTCTGGTATGAATTTGGTAAATTAACAACATGTATAGACGAAAAAGCATCTCCAATATATTTTTAAAAATATTTTATGTATATTTGGTATGTATTTTGAAAAATATATGGAATTAGGGCTTATTATGGGATTTTTTGTAAATTCTTCGATGAGTCCCTAGTGACGAAACGAAAAAATTTGTTGCCACACTTGACGTTCCTCTTCAAAGGTTTTAATGGCCTTCGTAGGTAACCGCAGTTGATTAATAGCGGTCGTTAATTGTTTACATTGATTACAATAAAAGGAGCAAAATTAAAATGGAGAATGCCCAATGGAATGAAAATAGAAAGAAAAAATTAATTATTGATGATTGATTACTCCGTTAGTACAATTTTCATAACTTTTTCTATTTTTTATTTCCATTAGAAAATGTTCTTTAAAGAAGTTATTTCTATTTTTTATGAGTTTATTCCTAGTGTTTTTCTGAGGGTCTAGGAGTTATTCCCCCAAACGGAAATCTCCCAGACAAAATAAAAATAATATAACCAATATAAGAATAAAAACCCCCCAAAAAATAATACAATAAACAAAACAAACGGATTATCTATCGGATTAGAAGTTGAAAAAAAAAACTCAACAAGAGCGCCTCTTTTACCGCAAATAGAATATATATAATTTTTATAGACGCATTACGTCCGGTTGATTATACGAATTAAAATGATGAAAAGGCATAATAATTTGTTATTAATTTATATAATCTTGTCGCGGGATTTTTTTTATTGAAGGAATTGTGTTGAGGATATTTTTACTCGGGTGAATACCTCCCGACACCTCGAAAATAATTTTTCAGCGGAATTTATCTAGTTTTTCAATAGAGTTTAGCCCTTCGGTATTTACTCCGCGATTGGCATGTTTAATTACGTCAAGTTTTAATAAAGTCCCCCCGAGTGGCAAGGATGGTGAAACATGGGCGGCATGACGAAGACAGAGACTGTCGAAGGATTAAATGAGTTAACGATGACTCGTGAATTTTCAACACAATGCACAAGACCACACCTAGAGGAATCTAACGGAGTTGAGGAATAAGACGACACTTAATCCCGATATTACACCCCTCAACGTACCAACAATAAATTGACCACTCGACTTAATTAATAACCATTTTTTTATTAAACTTCTTCATTTTTTTTTCTCATCCTCCCAGGAATAAATTATTTGAATTTCCAATTATATTCCATTATTTTTTTTTTCTTTTCAATTTTTCGTAATAAAGAGTTTACCTACTAATCATAGAAAAATATTTTCTTTGTCGAGAGATTTGCGTTTTCCGGGTGACTATTCAGAACTCCTCTTCCAGGGGGAATCAGCTGGGCACCAGTCCAGTTCCTGAAACGACAAATAAATAACTCTAATTATAAAAACGATATTTTCATATGGAGGGAAAGAAAATTGGAAAATTCTGGTTGATTCTTTTGAAAGGCACTTAAAAGTACATCAGGACGACAGGAAGTGAAATGAGGCGTCAGATTTGGGTGATAAAAAAACATCTCTTCCACCCTTTGGAGGTAATTTTCAAAGGGGACCGGTGGCTCAGGAGATTATGTGACAATTTTCAGGTCATTCTCCGCTCGGGGCCGGAGTTAACTGCTCCGGGCTCTCGTTTCCGGTTCGAATTATCATCTTTTCCATTCAGTCCCTCAGAAAAATCATTTCTTCAATAAAAAGAAAAAATCGATGAGGTCGCATTTCTGTTTTGTACTTTCCGCAAAATGTCATTTCATCTTCATCATCAAATATCTAATTGAAAAATTCTCAAAAACTTTATTTACAAGCATTCCAGGGACGTAGATAATCCCCACATGGGGGGCCCATGCAAATTGAATTCTCTTTGATAAATAAGATCTATAACAGAAATTATTGCAACGAAGAGATTACAAACATTTGATATAATATTGTAGATATAATTTCCATAAAATTGCACCATTTTTAATTGCATTTAAGGATGGTTTGGTATTTTATTATTTTTCTCGTTTTTCTGGGATTTATTGAAAACTATTGATCGGATTGGGATATGAAAATATATAGCGTTTGGCCATTCATCATGATTGATGGAATGGACAAACGCCTTTATAAATAATTGATGAAATGGACAAATTCTTTTATAAAGTTTCATCCCGATACATTAATTCTTGTAACTTTTCACTAAAATTTAATAAAAAATCAATAAATTTTAGTGAAAAGTTCTAAAAATTGTTGTATCCGGATGAGACTTTGTGAAAGGATAAATCATGATGTAACGGACAAACGCTATATTTTCATATCCCAATCCGATCGATAGTTTTCAATAAATCTCAGAAAAATAGGAAAAATAACAAAATACCGGTAGAACATCCTTAATACTTACCGAGATCCTTTTAATTTTGAAAAAGCCGAAAATAATTTTCCATGAAGAGATTTTAAAGGAATTTAATTTCTGAATTTCTTTCAAACAAAATGATACATCTGATT